TGTTTAAAACAGAGAATGTAAAAAGTTCCAGGAGGAGGCAGTTGCTGCCTTTGATAATCTCTTTCCTGAGGAATTTGCTGTTTTATTTTCAGCTGGCGGTTCCTTCTGCTGGCAACTGGAAAACCTGACAATTGCTTTTCATCTTTACCGGTGTCTGTAGTTCTAAGCTCAAAAAGTTTATTACTATTTACAATGTTTACTATTTAAAAAGACAAAATGCACTTACTGAAACAGCTCCATATGCGGTGGAACGATGGGAAAGCCACTTTTCTGTGGTATTTGTGGCTGGCTCATGGTTTTGGAGCTTTGCTGAGGTGTCAGAGGTTTGGGGGTGTGCAGCCAGTGCAGAGATGAGGGCTGCTGGCCCTGCCACCCCCTCGCAGTGACAGTGTCCCCGTGCTGGGGCTCCTGTGCCTTTCCCAGTGCTCAGGGTCTGAACACTGACAGCTAACTCAGGGATGTGCCAGCTCTGGTTGTGCTGGGGAAGTGAAAATCAGCTTTTTCCAGGGCTGGACTGCTGTCCCTCCACGTCCCAGCTGGGTCCCACAGCAGGCTGGCGGCTCAGGACGGGCAGAGCGGGACATTGTCCCTCTGCTGGAGCACACAGTGCTGAACTCAGGCTGAGCAAAGCCCCTGGAGGGGCCGAGAGGAGTGGTGGCATTGGGTGGCTGCCTGTCCAGATGCCAATGTCCGTTTATTTCACGGTTCTTATCTTTCAGTTGTCCCCACAATTCAGGAACTTAAGTCCAGCGGTGTGATGCTCGGCGGGAACGGCCTGATCCGCTGCGAAGGTGCAGGAGTGCCTGCCCCGATCTTTGAGTGGTACAGAGGAGAGAGGAAGTAAGTACCACTGCTCGCCCACCCCCGTGTGCCAGGGCTGCTGTCAGGGGTGCCTGTTCCAGGGTAGGGCTGCCCGGGGTGCCTGTTCCAGGGTAGGGCTGCTGCCAGGGGTGCCCATTCCAGCACGTCCCCGGCTCGGCAGGGCTGCCCCGCACCTCCTGCTCGGCCAGGCTGGAAACGCCAACAGCCTGACACCCAAAGCAGCCCTTGAAGGGAGGCAGCCAGAAAAGCGCTGGGAAAAGCCTGCAGAAAGGATTTCTGTTCCATTTGCCTTGCTCGCCCTTGAGAGCAAGGCTTGAGGCGCTGTGCTGGTGCCCTGGGGTGAGCTCTGAGCCCCAAAACTGGTCGTGGGTTCTGGGTCTGGGGGGGCCCTCCTGGGTCAGCAGCAGCCTCTCTGCAGAGTCCCCTCTGCTCCCAAGGCAGCTCAGCAAACAGGGATGGGCTTTGCCTTTGAGCAGCACATTTTGGGCTCCAGCTCTGGGCCCTTGCAGGAGCTCGTTCCTCCTGGGCTCACGCGCTGCTGCAGAAGCAGGTGGATGTTGTCCCCTGGGGCTGGGAAGCTTTGGGAATTTCCCAGTTCCAAGTGCTGGGTTTGTCAGCTGGAACATCCCATTAAAGCTGGGAGCTGGCAGGAGGATATTAATGACCCTTCTCCACAGAAAGCCATCTGTCAGCTCCTTCCTCAGCTGCTCCCCTGCTGCAGCTCGAGCTGCTGGCCTCCTCCCTCTCTGCTGAGCCGTGCCTTCCACCATCTCCTGCAGCTTCTCTTCCGCTGATCTTGCCTCTGCAGACCAGGAATGTTTCTCCTGTGTGTGAAACCCATCTGCATCCTATTTCCCTGGCTGCTGGGCCGTGTGGTGCCCATCCTGGGGCCGCTGCAGCACAAACACCCCTTCTCTGGGAATGTTTCAGAGCGGGTTCAATTAGCAGCTCCAGCACGCTGATCACCTTTCTGTCTGTAACTCTGCCCAAACCCCTCCCTGCTGAGCACGTTCAGTGCCGTGGCAGCAGCAGGAGAGGCGAAGCAGAGCATCCCAGGACACCCAAGTGTGCTCCTGCTCCTGTTCTGCTGCGTGTTTCACCTCAGCAGGAAAAGCTCTGTCCTGCTGGGTCCTGCTGCTCAAATATCGGGTTAAATCAAATGCTCCATCCTTTCAGGAGCTGGGCTCTGCTGATCCTTGGGGGTCCCTTCCAGCTCAGGGGATCCTGTGAGCCTTGTTGGTGCTGGGGATCTCTGAGCCCTATCCCTTGCAGGAAAGGGGAAAGTACCCAGAGGGGATTTTTTTTTGGTTTTTTGGCTGGTTTTGGACCCAGTGTCTCCCCCTCTGCCTCTGGATGATGGGCAGCCAGCTCAGGATGGTCCTTGGCCAGCTCAGGATGGTCCTTGGCCAGCTCAGGATGGTCCTTGGCCAGCACAGGGTGGTCCTTGGCCAGCTCAGGATGGTCCTTGGCCAGCACAGGGTGGTCCTTGGCCAGCTCAGGATGGTCCTTGGCCGCTCAGGATGAGCCCTGGACAGCTCAGGATGGTCCTTGGCCAGCTCAGGATGGTCCTTGGCCAGCTCAGGATGGTCCTTGGTCAGATCAGGATGGTCCTTGTCCAGCTCAGGATGGTCCTTGGCCAGCTCAGGATGGTCCTTGGCTAGCTCAGGATGGTCATTGGCCAGCTCAGGATGGTCCTTGGCCAGCTCAGGATGGTCCCTGGCCAGCTCAGGATGGTCCTTGGCCAGCTCAGGCACTGCTTTGGTGCAGAGCTGAGAAGGTTCAGCTCTCTCACAGGAGCATCTCCATTACCCTGCAGGTAATTTGCTCCATGGCTGAATTTACTCCTGGGAGTGCACACCCTGCTGGATTCTTGGCTAACACAATAGAGAGGATCCCATTTTTGTCAGATTTTGTCAGATGCTCTTGGGCTGGGACTCCTCTTTCTCAGAAATCCGGATGGGTTGTTCAGTAAATTAGCATTGGGAGCTGGCCCTGCAATCCTAACTGTGCGTGCAGTGTCTGAAACAAGGCTTTTGGGGGTGGAAATTGCATTGTTGTTACTGAGATTGATGTAAATCCAAACACACCGTTGCCAGACTCCAGGGATCACCTCATCATAAAATAACCATTAAAGCTAAACACAGAGGCAGCAGCAGGCTGCACTGAGTTAAAGTTACTGCTCTTTGAGGCAGACAGGGCTGGTTCTGCCTCACCACTGCCTTCCCAGCAGGTCTGCTCAGCAACTGCCCCAGGTGCTGGTGCACAGCGTGGGGAGAGCCAGAGAAAATCTGGGGGAGAGGTTCCTAAAGCATCCCAAAATTGTCCTAGAAACACCACATGGTTGGGTTGGAAGGGATATTGAAGTTTACCCCATTCCATCACCCTGCCGTGGGCAGGGCACCTCCCATAGCCCAGGCTGCTCCAAGGGCTGTCCCGGATCCAGGGGCACTCCGGGATGGGGTGTCAGGAATCTGTGTGCCTGGGAGGGTTGTTGGCATTCCCTGTGCCAGCTCTGAGCCCAGCCTGCTCTCAGGCTGTGTTCTGGGGCTGCAGAAATTAGAGCTCAGACACTAAACAGCCACAGGCAAAGAGCCCAAAAGTCACCTAAATGAAATATTGAAGGATTAATTCCCTTTTCCTTCTCAAAGCAAACAAGACTTACATTTGCAATGACAAAGCTCATTCTCATGGCTCATCAATTCAAGCAGGGGGCAGGATGGAGAGGCAGGGCCCGGGGCTGGCACCGGGCTGGGGGTGCCAGGGAGGCACCCTGCAACAGGAGGAGCTGGCTGTCCCTGTGGGAGAGGCTCAGGGCCAAGGGGAAGGGGCGTGCAGGGCGCTGTGCACACCCAGAGGGATGTTTGTACACCCAGAGTGATGTTTGCACACCCAGAGTGTGCTGTGCACACCCAGAACCCTGTTGTGAACACCCAGAGCCCTGCTGTGCACACCCAGAGGGATGTTACACACCCAGAGTGATGTTTGCACACCCAGAGTGTGCTGTGCACACCCAGAACCCTGTTGTGAACACCCAGAGCCCTGCTGTGCACACCCAGAGGGATGTTACACACCCAGAGTGTGCTGTGCACACCCAGAACACTGTGGCAGCCTGGCAGTCACTGGGTGAGGCCCATCAATAAACAATTATACAATAAACGATTATACAATAAACGATTATACAATAAACAATTATACAATAAACAATTATACAATAAACGATTATACAATGAACAATTATACAATAAACAATTATACAATAAACGATTATACAATGAACAATTATACAATAAATGATTATGCAATAAACGATTATACAGTACATGATTATACAATAAACGATTACACAATAAACAATTATACAATAAACGATCATACAATAAACTGTTATACAGTACATGATTATACAATAAACAATTATAAAATAAACAATTATACAATAAATGATTATACAATAAACAATTATGCAATAAACGATTATACAGTAAACAATTATACAATAAACAATTCTATACAATAAATGATTATGCAATAAACTGTTATACAGTACATGATTATACAATAAACAATTATAAAATAAACAATTATACAATAAATGATTATACAATAAACAATTATACAATAAACGATTACACAATAAACAATTATACAATAAATGATTATACAATAAACGATTATACAGTAAATGATTATACAATAAACGAGTATACAGTAAATGACTACACAATAAGCAATTACACAATAAACAATTATACAATAAGTGATTATACAATAAACAATTACACAATAAACGATTACACAATAAACAATGACACAATAAACAATTCTCTAATAACTGCTAGATGCCAGCTCCGTGCTGAGCACGCCGAGCCGCACACGGAGGAGCGGCAGTTCCCCAGGAGGAGCTGCTCCCCTCCAGCTGCCCACAGACACCCCGGGCAGTGTGGCCAGCTCGTGCCCTGGGAACTGTGTGCCCATCCCTGCATCCCTGCCAGCCTGACTGCTGCAGCCCCAGCCCCGAGCTCGGTGCCAGCCCCTTCCAGCAGGGCAGGGCCCGAGCTGGCAGCCTGGGCAGGCTGGGGCAGCAGGTACCACGGGCAGGGGCTCACACTTTTCTCAGGCAGAGGTGGCACCTGGCACGGGGCGTGGCATCAGCAAAGATCCCAACACTCCTTTTCTTCTGGGGAAAATCCGAGCTGAACTTACGGCTGAGATGGTGGAGCTCACACCTTGGTGAGGGACCAAACTCTGGAGCTGGCTGGGGAACAGCTGGGGCACACCACGGGATCCCAGACTGGGCTGGCTTGGAGAGGACCTTAAATCCCACCCAGTGCCAGCCCTGCCACGCCAGGGACACCTCCCGCTGCCCAGGTGCTCCAGCCTGGGCACTGCAGGGATCCAGGGCAGCCGCAGCAGGGGAGGTTTGGGAGTGAAGAACTCCTTTGGAATTCTCTGCAGCAGAGGCAGGAAGCAGAGGGACAGCCGTTGGTGGGTTTAGAGGAGAAAATCCACGTGCAAAGGTTGAAGGGACAAATTTCCACCTGGCACAGAAATTTTCTCTCTCTGGACAAAAGGTGAATCTTCCAAGGGCAGTGCTCACCCCAATCCCATTTTTCCACGTTTTCATGCCCATGGGGTGTGGCACGTCCTCTGCCAGCCCTGGGCTGGAGGAGCAGAGTCCTTTACAGCAGCACAACCTGCCCAGGGAGGAGAAATCCCCGTGTGAGCAGCACCTGCAGGGCTCTGATGGCAAGAGAGGCACCCCCCAACAATTGCAGTGTTCAGTCCACAACCTGCAATCAATGACAGATCTGCCAAGGTTTTCACACAGAACGGTGGGAGCTGGCATTAATTCCCAGGATATATGATTATATCCTTCAATATAGCAGACAAAAATTGCATTCTTAATCCAAAACTCTGCTCCTTATGGGAAATAGAAGGAATTATGAGTAATAACTGTAGCGAGTTTTTAATAACACGGTTCCCCTTCTCGTCTCCTTGTTTGATCGGACGTGGTTTGCCTACGACAACGTCATTAAAGTTGGTTCTCTGCTTTGTCCTGGAGCCCAGCAATGCTCCTGGCATGGCTTTGGCAGCAGTATCCACACACCTGCATTTTTCCTATGAATTTGGGGTGGGCAGCTCAAAGCTGGGTGAGAGGAGTCCTGATTTGGCTTTTTTCTGTGCTTCATTACCTGATCCTGCCCAGGCTGCTGCCTCAGCAGTGCTGCTGGAGCATTTTGTTCCTAATTGCAAGGCTCATTTGCAGCTGTAGAGCTCCATAAATGAAACCACGGTCACAGTCCTGGCTCCTAATCCTCCCCTGCCACCAGCCAGAGCTGTGAGAGCACACAACAAACTCCCGGGGCTGAAAAAACCCTCTTAGACAGACTTACCAGGACCCCTTCCTGCTCCAGGGAGGGTGTTTCAGTTCCCAGTTGGCTTTGCCCAGTTTAAAATCCGAGCTCTGCATGCAGGAGTTTCTGTGCCTGCTCCTCCAGGCAGGCAGGGCTGTGAGTGTTCCTCTTCTCTCAGCTGCAGGACACGCAGGCAGCATCATCACCCCCAGCCCAGGGCTGTGGGGCCCCTCCTCAGTGCCAGGAATTGTGCTCAGCACAGGCACTGGCAGCTTGCAAAGAGCTCACCGTGCTCCTGGGGCTGTCTGTACAACCAGGAAAGAAAAGAGAGCTGTAGAAAAAAAAATAAATAAAAACCTTGGTTGTGGTATATGAGTTATGGACATTTTCTTTTTGCTTTCTAGACTGATCAATGGTCAACAAGGAATCACTATTAAAAATTATAGTACAAGATCCCTTCTTACTGTTACCAATGTGACAGAAGAGCACTTTGGCAACTATACTTGTGTCGCTGCCAACAGGCTAGGGACGACCAATGCCAGCCTGCCTCTCAACCGTAAGTACGGGGACGTGTGGCCAGCTCAGGGGGTTCCTCCAGCCCCGAGGGTGGCACAGCCCCAGAGGAGCAGCGTGCTCGTGCCCCTGAGCCCCTGGAAATGCCCCTCGTGCCCGCCGGGGCTCAGCGGCTCTGCCTGGTGGGGGCTGCTTTGTGCTGGGAAGGGTTTGGGCTCTGAGTTGGGCTTTGTGCTGGGCTCTGTGCTGGGAAGGGTTTGGGCTCTGAGTGGGGCTTTGTGCTGTGTTTTGGGTTGGGCTCTGAGTTGGGCTCTGAGCTGGGCTTTGTGCTGGGAAGGGTTTGGGCTCTGAGCTGGGCTCTGTGATGTGTTTTGGGTTGGGCTCTGAGTTGGGCTCTGAGCTGGGCTCTGAGTTGGGCTCTGTGCTGGGAAGGGTTTGGGCTCTGAGCTGGGCTCTGTGATGTGTTTTGGGTTGGGCTCTGGGTTGGGCTCTGAGCTGGGCTTTGTGCTGTGTTTTGGGTTGGGCTCTGAGCTGGGCTTTGTGCTGTGTTTAGGGTTGGGCTCTGAGTTGGGCTCTGAGTGGGGCTCTGAGTTGGGTTCTGAGCTGGGCTCTGAGGTGGGCTCTGAGTTGGGCTCTATGCTGCGTTTTGGGTTGGGTTCTGAGTTGGGCTCTGTGCTGGGCTCTGAGCTGGGCTCCGAGATGGGCTCTGTGCTGGGTTCTGTGCTGGGAAGGGTTTGGGCTCAGAGTTGGGCTCTGAGCTGGGCTCTGTGCTGTGTTTTGGGTTGGGCTCTGTGCTGTGTTTTGGGTTCGGCTCTGTGCTGTGTTTTGGGTTCGGCTCTGAGTTGGGCTCTGTGCTGTGTTTTGGGGGCAGCAGGGGCTCTGGCCCTACCCGAAATCCCAGCTGACCCCAGCCTGGTGCGGAGGCACACTGTGCACAGCCACAGCTCCCTGTTCCCAGCAGCAGCCACAGGTCCCTGCCACGGGGCCCTGCCAGCCAGGGCAGAGGTTCCCCAGCACGTTCCCAGGAACAGGCTCAGCTGCAGACCTGGGACGTGCCAGAGCTCTGCCCCAGCTCGGGCTGCCCTCACTGTGCAGAGCAGCGGAATCTCCTGGAGGAGACAGTGAGAAGCAAAGCGCTGGGTGCTCAGCGTGGAGCTTCCCCAAAAGGGCCCCGAGGAGCTGCTGGGGAGGAATTTCGGTGGTGTTTCACTGCTGTCGAGGGCTCAGTCAGCTGCTGGGGGACCCACGGGCGTTCGTGGTGGAGCTTTGGTGCTGCTCTGTTCTGATGGTGATAACAGAGAGACAAAACTCCGGGTGTATCTTGCACGTAAATATATTCCTCGTGTGGAAATGCCGAGTTTCAGTTGCTTGAATCCCACAATTGTTGCCTTCCTTCCGTGAAATTTCCTCCTGAATGTACTCCCCATATGATGAGTGTTGTCAGGAGGTTGTAAATTCCTGCAGGAGAGATGGAACAGGCACAAAATAACAAAGAGCCTTTGCTGCCATTTATTTAATATTTGAGGGATCATTACCAAAGAGGGAATGATGTTACACTTATTTTAAACAGAAAATGCAAGTGAAAACAAGGGAATATTAAGCCAGAAGGAGCTGGAATTTGGTGTATTTGCAATTCAGAGCAGGTAGAAGGAAGGTCTGGCTTCATTTGAACAGAGCAGAGCTGAATCTGTCTCTAAGCTGCTGCCAGGATTTTTTCCATCTTAAATTGTGAGGTGCCTTGTAGCCACCCTTGAAAGCACTTTGAGAGGCAGAGGTTGAAAATGTCATAGAAGTACCAAGTGCATTGGTACAAACCATAAAAATAGATGTTCTCCACCATGAAAGAAAGGGGAGGTGGGAAGCAGAATGGTCTGAGAGAAAATATGGAAATCTGGGTCTGCTCCTGACCTCAGGAGGGAAATGGGGGATGTTGGCTCAGAGGTTTAACTCAAAGACCAAGATGAAATGTCTTATTTTATACTGTGATTGTTTTGATCCAGCTCTCCAAACAAGGAGAGCTGTCCTAAAGGTGGTGATCTGGATTTTGGTTGGGTGTGAGAATCATTTGGTGAAGCTTTTCCTTTGCTTATAATTTACATTAATATTATCTAGAAGCATTATCCCTTTAAAACAAACAAACAAACTAACTAAAAAGTAACAATAATTCCCATGGGAAACCCCTGGGGCGTGCAGGGACACGGGAGGGGGATCCCAAATCCCCCAGTGTGACCCTGTGCTGTGACCTGGGGGGGCCTGGGATCCTCCATCCCATGGGAAACCTCTGGGGCATAATTCTTTTAAAAGTTTTAAAGTTCTCATAAAACTTCTTTAACCTTTTGATAATGTTTACATATTTCTACTGGAGTTCTCACACACTGTTCATGTAAATAATAATCGTTCTACATTCTTCTTTGTAGGAAGAAAAAATTAATAGACTGTTAGTTTAACCAGTGTAGTTAGAAAAGTAACAGTTTCATCCTCCAATTCCCCGTCATTTTTAGAACTCTATATATTACAAAGTCAAATATAAAATTTACTCCTTTTCTCTTTTAAACTTACCAAACTTCTGTATACTCATTTCATGTCCAGTAACAACACCTTTGGGTCTGCGTCAGGTTTAGCTCCACAGCTTTGCCTGGCCCACCAAACCTGACATTTCTGGAGAGAAATACACTCTCCAGGGAAATTCCCTTTGTGTCCACAGTTTCTGCTGTTGTCCAATTACCTGAGGAAGATTTTGCTATTTTATCTCTCAAATACCGGCCTGGAAAGCAAATCAAATTTCAATTTGCATAGTTCTGTCTCAGCCAGGTGGGCTGGTCTGCATCAGAAAATAGAATAGAAAAAGTGTCTGCAGGTCTATATATTTATTTATAAGCTTAAATGAAAATTGCTGTTCTCATTAGGAGCCTGCTGGAAGGCTGCAGCAGTGAGTCAGAGGACAGTTATTGATTCAGAAAGGCTTGGATCACACAGCACTGCCTGCTCCAGGAGAGAGCTTCTGCTGCAGCCTGGGAATGGCCCATCCTGGACACAGACCCAGCTCCTGCAACTCAGAGCAGGACTGAGCACAGATCCTCAGTTTGGGGTCTTTTCTTTCTGCTCTCAGGTCTTCTGGGCGCTTCTTGGTGACCGTGGCTGATCTCTCCGGTTCCTACAGCTCACTTGGTGTCCCCAGTTCCTACAGCTCACTTGGTGTCTCTGGCCCCTACACTTCCACCAGGAGTGTCCCATGTCCAGCTGCACCTGCTGGACCTGCCCCCAGTGCCCTCCAGGTGGATATTTGTGGAGATTTCTGTCCCCTGCCTTTCTGAGGGTATCCATCCCACGGGGAAATGCTCTTGGAGTCCAGCAAGTCCCAGTTCTCCGGGGCTGGGGAGAGTTGAGAGCAGCAGGGCTGTAAATGCACAGGGATGCTGTTCCCAAAGGAAAGCAGCTCCCAGCCAGCCCCAGGGGCACTGCCAGCCAGGGAAAACCTTCCTGCCCTGCCCTCTCCCCTGGCAGGGCTGGGAACCCTCCCAGAGCACATTGCTGGGGCTCAGCACCCTGGGTTCATCCACTGCAGAGAATTGACAAATGGCCAAATCCCCCATTTGGGTAAGCCATAATAATTCTGTTAAATGTTGGGTTTGAGCTCCTTCCATATGGATGCCAACTGCTGCTCCAGGTAACAATTACCGAGAGTTATGAAGGAATTTTCTCTAAATCCATTTTCCAGCTTGAGCTTTATTATGAATTATGTGACAATAAGTGACTGAGATGGGATGAGGCAGAAATAACCCGTTTGAGCAAGGCCAGGAACACAAGTTTCTCCTTGACATTTAGCAGAAATGTAAAGGCCTGAGAACAGCTCAGGGAAAAATCAAACAGAAATCAAACAAAAGCCCTGGGGTCTTTGCTGTGGGTTCTTGCTGAAGTTGCCCCAGTGCTCTGATTTGTTCCATTTGTGTTTATGTGCAGAAATTTTGCAGTTACCCACTGGGTTCAGTCTCCTCTTTTTGCCCACCTGGTTAAATTAGAGGGGTTGAAGCGAGGCCAAATCTTCATCTTAGGTATCAGTTAATTATCATAAAATCCTGGAATATTCTGGGTGGGGAGGGGCCCACAGCGATCACTGATCCAGCTCCTGGCCCTGCAGACACCCCCCAATGCCCCCTGACCCTGATTGTGTCCAAACAATGATTAAAACGTTCCACAGAATATTTAATTCCCTGCCTGTGCCCCCTCAGGGTGAGAAGCACCCATGGGCAGAGCTCACTGTACCTCGAGTTTCTTCTCAGAGTACAAAAACCTCAAAGTAAATTTAAAAATTTGGAAATCCAAAGAATACATTGTGTAACAAATGGGATGAAGACACAAAGTGCTATGAATAGCACTATAAATAATGATTTAGGTTTATTTTACAGCTCAGGCTGGAACACAAACTTCAGCCTGGCCTCAAAACTTGGGGAGGAGGGAGGGAGGAGGCTCAGAAAGGAACCAGAGGATGAAACAATCCCCAGGTGAAGGGACTGAAGACAATTACTGTCTCTCCTGGGCAGGAAAAGTGGGTTATTGGAATATTGGCAAAGGTGCATTAGGAAGTTTTCTCATAACACAGGCCCAGGAGAGAGTCACTTAGGCTGATCAGTGACCAATTCTAAACCCAATGCAAAGCACTTCTTCATTAGAAGGTTATTAAGCACAGAACTCATTTTCATATCGAGTTGTTGAGCAAAGCTCAGGGGCTTTACAAAGGAATTAGATATTGATTGAGGGTATCCTGAGTTTTCAGAGAGATCAGAAAATAGATTTCAAACCCAAGACTTTGGTATTTAAGCAAATAGTCTAACAGGCTGGAAAATGCCA